CACTGTGTTGATACAGCAGTGGAGTGATAGAGACTGGTAGATCATCAGCACTGTATTGATACAGCAGTGTAGTGATAGAGACTGGTAGATCACCAGCACTGTGTTGATAGAGCGGTGGAGTGAAAGAGACTGATAGATCACCAGCACTGTATTGATACAGCAGTGGAGTGATAGGGAGACTGGTAGATCACCAGCACTGTATTGATACAGCAGTGGAGTGATAGAGACTGGTAGATCACCAGCACTGTGTTGATACAGCAGTGGAGTGATAGAGACTGGTAGATCACCAGCACTGTGTTGATACAGCAGTGGAGTGATAGAGACTGGTAGATCACCAGCACTGTATTGATACAGCAGCGGAGTGATAGAGACTGGTAGATCACCAGCACTGTATTGATACAGCAGTGGAGTGATAGAGACTGGTAGATCACCAGCACTGTGTTGATACAGCAGTGGAGTGATAGAGACTGGTAGATCACCAGCACTGTGTTGATACAGCAGTGGAGTGATAGAGACTGGTAGATCACCAGCAGTGTGTTGATACAGCAGTGGAGTGATAGAGACTGGTAGATCACCAGCATTGTATTGATACAGCAGTGGAGTGATAGGGACTGGTAGATCACCAGCACTGTATTGATACAACAGTGGAGTGATAGAGACTGATAGTTTACCAGCACTGTATTGATACAGCAGTGGAGTGATAGAGACTGATAGATCACCAGCACTTTGTTGATACAGCAGTGGAGTGATAGAGACTGGTAGATCACCAGCACTGTATTGATATAGCAGTGGAGTGATAGAGACTGGTAGATCACCAGCACTGTATTAATATAGCAGTGGAGTGATAGAGACTGGTGGATCACCAGCACTGTGTTGATAAAGCAGTAGAGTGATAAAGACTGGTAGATCACCAGCACTGTGTTGATACAGCAGTGGAGTGATAGAGACTGGTGGATCACCAGCACTGTGTTGATAAAGCAGTAGAGTGATAAAGACTGGTAGATCACCAGCACTGTGTTGATAGAGCAGTGGAGTGATAGAGACTGGTAGATCATCAGCACTGTATTGATACAGCAGTGTAGTGATAGAGACTGGTAGATCACCAGCACTGTATTGATACAGCAGTGGAGTGATAGAGACTGGTAGATCACCAGCACTGTGTTGATAGAGCGGTGGAGTGAAAGAGACTGATAGATCACCAGCACTGTATTGATACAGCAGTGGAGTGATAGGGAGACTGGTAGATCACCAGCATTGTGTTGATACAGCAGTGGAGTAATAGAGACTGGTAGATCACCAGCACTGTGTTGATACAGCAGTGGAGTGATAAAGACTGGTAGATCACCAGCACTGTATGGATACAGCAGCGGAGTGATAGAGACTGGTAGATCACCAGCACTGTGTTGATACAGCAGTGGAGTGATAGTGACTGGTAGATCACCAGCACTGTGTTTATACAGCAGTGGAGTGATAGTGACTGGTAGATCACCAGCACTGTGTTGATACAGCAGTGGAGTGATAGAGACTGGTAGATCGCCAGCACTGTATTGATACAGCAGTGGAGTGATAGAGACTGGTAGATCACCAGCACTGTATTGATACAGCAGCGGAGTGATAGAGACTGGTAGATCACCAGCACTGTATTGATACAGCAGTGGAGTGATAGAGACTGGTAGATCACCAGCACTGTGTTGATACAGCAGTGGAGTGATAGAGACTGGTAGATCACCAGCAGTGTGTTGATACAGCAGTGGAGTGATAGAGACTGGTAGATCACCAGCATTGTATTGATACAGCAGTGGAGTGATAGGGACTGGTAGATCACCAGCACTGTATTGATACAACAGTGGAGTGATAGAGACTGATAGTTTACCAGCACTGTATTGATACAGCAGTGGAGTGATAGAGACTGATAGATCACCAGCACTTTGTTGATACAGCAGTGGAGTGATAGAGACTGGTAGATCACCAGCACTGTATTGATATAGCAGTGGAGTGATAGAGACTGGTAGATCACCAGCACTGTATTAATATAGCAGTGGAGTGATAGAGACTGGTGGATCACCAGCACTGTGTTGATAAAGCAGTAGAGTGATAAAGACTGGTAGATCACCAGCACTGTGTTGATACAGCAGTGGAGTGATAGAGACTGGTGGATCACCAGCACTGTGTTGATAAAGCAGTAGAGTGATAAAGACTGGTAGATCACCAGCACTGTGTTGATAGAGCAGTGGAGTGATAGAGACTGGTAGATCATCAGCACTGTATTGATACAGCAGTGTAGTGATAGAGACTGGTAGATCACCAGCACTGTATTGATACAGCAGTGGAGTGATAGAGACTGGTAGATCACCAGCACTGTGTTGATAGAGCGGTGGAGTGAAAGAGACTGATAGATCACCAGCACTGTATTGATACAGCAGTGGAGTGATAGGGAGACTGGTAGATCACCAGCATTGTGTTGATACAGCAGTGGAGTAATAGAGACTGGTAGATCACCAGCACTGTGTTGATACAGCAGTGGAGTGATAAAGACTGGTAGATCACCAGCACTGTATGGATACAGCAGCGGAGTGATAGAGACTGGTAGATCACCAGCACTGTGTTGATACAGCAGTGGAGTGATAGTGACTGGTAGATCACCAGCACTGTGTTGATACAGCAGTGGAGTGATAGTGACTGGTAGATCACCAGCACTGTGTTGATACAGCAGTGGAGTGATAGAGACTGGTAGATCGCCAGCACTGTATTGATACAGCAGTGGAGTGATAGAGACTGGTAGATCACCAGCACTGTATTGATACAGCAGCGGAGTGATAGAGACTGGTAGATCACCAGCACTGTATTGATACAGCAGTGGAGTGATAGAGACTGGTAGATCACCAGCACTGTGTTGATACAGAAGTGGAGTGATAGAGACTGGTAGATCACCAGCACTGTATTGATACAGCAGTGGAGTGATAGACTGATAGATCACCAGCACTGTGTTGATACAGCAGTGGGGTGAGAATGAACAACAATAAGACTCGCGAAGCCTGCAGTGAAATAAAAACGACGAATGCATAAGAGACACAAAACGTCAGCAGTAGAATGAAAATGGCCGAGTGGTAAAATGCATTGGGAGCCAGCAGCGAGTCGAGACTGACAAATGGAACCCTCGATGCTCTGCAATGTACGAATGTGGCATGGGAGTGGATGTATTGTGTATGTCAGGGATGTCAGGGGTGGGAATGGAAATGGACAGTGGGTTTCGGGGCATGGAGGGGATTCCCAACCAAAAGAAGGGAGCCAGTGAAGCGGCAACAGTGGAGGAGGGGAGGGGCAGGCGAGGAGATGCAGGAGGGGGCATCAGGGGGCTCGGGGCATTGTGGCGGGGTGAACGGATTGGGAGAGGGCTGTGGGCAAGTGTGGGCTGGGGGTGAATAAAAGACGGACCCCCCCCCCCCAACCTCGTGTCGGCTCTACTTCACATGGACATTGTGCGGTGTGCGGTGTCAGTGGTTCAGAGCGACTTGCACCGGCTGCACGTGCCGGTGTGTACAGTTCTGTGGTGGGAGCGGTGGCGCAGCGGTTAGCGCGGCGCGCCGTGCTACGATTCGGGCAGAGACCCCAATCCCGCTCATGGCCACCACCCACACCAGTGATAGCGTCAGCGATTATCTCAACTGGCTCTGGGCCTCCCCTAGGTCGACTCAGCCTCAAACAGTTACCTGGTGCGGTGTGTAGTAGACATCGGCACTAGGGAGACAAAGACGGCCGGGCGGATGTGGTGCTGGCCACTCACCGCTTAGAGTCTGTGTGGGCTACACGGGGGAGCTTTGTCTCTGCACGACACAGAGCAGTGAGCCGCAGCCACGTGACTGAGTTGAAGACGAGCAACTCCACAGGCGTCTCAGCTCGAGAACGAGAAACCCGACACATTGTTTACTTGTCTATGGTTATTGCGGTAAAGTCATGTAGATCGAAGAAAAAATGATGATACAATAATATAAATGAAAATAAAGGTAATACATCTTGATTTGAAGCTTTCGTGACTGCAGGAATCCATACTCGTTGGTTCTTTCGTTAAAGTCACTCCTAGAAAAAATAATAACAATAAAATGAAAATAATTATTTTTTATTCATTTTACTCTTTGGTTCTTTCGGTAAAGTCACTACGTCACTACGTGACTTTACCGAAAGAACCATAGAATATGAATCCCTGCAGTCACGAAAGTTTTAAGTCAAATTGTAATTGTTTAATTAAGTAATTTAACGATTTAAATAAGCAAGAAAAAGTGGAGCTGAAATAATAAAATATCGTGGAGCAGAGAGGGAGAGGCAACCGAATGAGAACAAGTATTCATACTGGTGGAATCCGATGAGCTATAAAGCTCTTTTTCACAGATGTCCAGTCGGGGCAGGTCAGAACGTGACAACAACAACAAGCAATACAACAACACGACAGGAGTGCAAAGTGTAGGAAAGGCAGAAAAATCACTTCGAGACATATTTATAGAGATACAACTACAAATATTGTGTTGTATCATACCAGATAAGGCCCCAATGAACTATTAGATACTTTTTTCAGACGCGACCTGGCCAACAATGATGGCTCAACGAAGTGACTCATCATCATCATCACCACGTGGAAATGTACAGCAGCAAAATAATCAAAATAAATTAGACGCAACGAGTTGACGAACAGCGTTCCCCTACGAGTTCAGTTGAGACGACGAGGTGAGTTGAGATATTGAGGTGAGTTGAGATGAGGTGACGTGTGTGAGGATGAGGATTTGAGGCGACGTCACCGGAGTCTTTATTCAGCCACCCCTGCTCGCTCGGGCGCCAACACATTCCAGGGTGTGTCACGTGATAATACAAATCAAACCGAAAGTGTTTGTACCGCACTTCCCTTTCTCACATTCACGAGGGTTGTTCCTGTTTTTGCGTCTCATACGCAGCCAGCTACTGCCGAAGATACAGCCAGAGACTGTCTGAGCAACATCCAGCGACTGCCTGAGCTACAGTCAGAGACTGCCTGAGCTCCATCAAGCGCCCGTCTCAGAGTGAAGCCACAGGGCCATGGCGAGTGTGGCTCCCAGTGGTAGCGAGGCTCCAGGGGAGTTGACCTGCCCCATCTGCCTGGACACCTCCCGCTGCCCCTGCACGCTCAGCTGTGGCCACTCGTTCTGCCTCGAGTGCGTGGAGGGCGCCTGGAATGCGGCAGAGTCCTTCTCCTGCCCGCAGTGCCGAGTGACCTTCCCTCAGAGGCCCAAGCTGAGCAAGAACTTCACTCTCGCCAACCTGGTGGAGCAGCGTAGTGCTGCAGAGAAAATGGCCACAGTGGTCTTGTGTGACTTCTGTAACGATGGCACGACCTCTGCCTCCAAGACCTGCCTCAGTTGTGATATGTCCTACTGTGTGACTCATGTAAAGCCTCATCAGGAGAACCCGAAGTTCAGGGACCACATTCTGGTGGATCCAGTCACAAATCCTGAAGAACGCAAGTGCAAGACGCACAGAGATGAGATTAAGTTTTACTGCCGACAGGACGAAAGCTTGGTCTGCACAACCTGCACCATCGCAGGAGACCACAAACGTCACAATGTGGCTACGCTGGAGGATGAGCACAAGAAACGGGAGGTGAGACGGTCTGCGTGTGTGAGCGGGAGCCTCTCCTGCATGAAGTCATCATTTCCCAGTATAAGCTGAACAATAGCATCCAGCTAAATATAATTCCTCTCTCAGCTGCCCATTGTTTCTTGACATTTTAACAGACATGTTTTACTATGAAGTATGCTGAGGTTGTCATAGTGCAGAAATAATACAACCACAAGTTATTATCAATCCTGTTGTTTGGCATTTTTTATCAAAATGAAGAACTGTAATGCATACAATGTGTTCTTAAAATTACGTGAGTGCATAGACTGTGGTTTGTATATAAAAAAGTGGTTTGTGGTAGAAAAGAGCAGAAACTTTTTTATTTTACCAAGGGAAGCTCACTGAGCTATGTAGATTTTTTTTCAGAGGCAACCTGGCCACAAAAGACAGATCAACAAAATGGCTTATCAGGTCTAAATGTATAGCAGCCAAATACTCACTCTTCCTAAACGTGGACAGAAACACCGGAGGACCCGGAGAAAAATCCATGCGACCATGGAGAGAGACATGCAAACTGCATAGAAACAGGCATCAGGGTCGGGTTCGAACCAACGACCTCCTGTATAGCAGGCAAGGCAGATAACATCTCGTAACTCCGGCACCCTGTCCACCCACTACTCAGCACCGCTCACTACTCACGCAGCCCCAACCACTACGCAGGTAGCCCAATCCACTACGCAGGTATCTCCACCAACTACTTCGGTAGCCCCCCGCCCCACTGCTCAGATCGCCCCACCCGCTACACAGGTAGCCTCACCACACTAGTTAGGTAGCTCTGCCCACTGCTCAGGTAGTCCCATCCACTACTTAGGTAGCCCTGCGCACGATTTAGCTCCTCGAAACATCAGTTCCCTGCTGCGCTTGTTCCTCCGGAGCTCCTGCCCCCGTCACTGTGCAGGGGTTCGCGTGGAGCGGGGGTGAGAGGGGACGCTCGGAGAGTGAATGGAGTCTCACCTGATGACGTCTCTCACAGAAACAAATTGGAGAGGAGACGCGGGTGGTGGAGGAGAAGAAGAGGGAGGCGGAGGAGTCCGTGAGGCGGATGGAGGCCGCTCGCAGGGACGTGCAGGTACCGCGTCTGGGCCGGACTCTGTGACCCGTTGATTCCACCCTGAGTAGGGGTTGTGATGGAAGACAACTCCATTCATTCACGCGGGCTTCCATTGGCTTCGAACACATCGTGGGACGAGAGGCAAAACAGTCAATGTACCTCAATAATCAGGACGAGCAAAGAGGTGGTTCTCATCTCTACTGATATACTCAATCATTGGTTGAAATTCCACATTCCCATATCTCCATATAACTTACCACTTCAACGTTCTTTTATCTATATTGATCAGATGAAGTGCTCCATACCTATTATCCAATACTCTGGTGGCAGAGTTTGTGGATCACATACAGACTTTTGTATGCCATTTTATTGAAACCAATCAGGCATTAGAGTGGCCAAGTGCAAGTGTAGTGGTTTCACGGAGAGTGGAGGCGATTTATAGAGGCAACGCATTTATTACAACAACGGTAACAATAGCAGTCTCACACAAAGGGGTAGCGGCCCCTTACTCTACTGCCTGGGGAGGTACGACCTCACCTGCCATATCAGTGGGGCGATGGGCTCTGAGTCCTCCGGCTAAGATTGATCTAGGGGAGGCTACACTGACCCGACCCAGCCAAGGTACGGGTCCCGACCACTGGCCCACTGAGTCCCGGCCCTTAACAGGGCAGCGGGTCTACGGGTCCCAGGGTCCTAGGCTAGCTGGTCTTCTGGCTTCAGAATTCGAATTGGCCCCAGATCCGTCCAGAGGTTCGGCTTTTATACGCCTCCCAAGGTTTGTCCGCCCCTGACCACGCCTCCCTTCCAGAGAGTTCCAGGGGGGAATCTAGAAGACCCCGCAGCCCCCCCCCCCTGCTTTGGGGCTGGGGAATATGGCGACACTTGTGCCGGTCCAAGTTACTGCCCCCGCCAGTTATGGAAAATCGTGTTGTAGTGAAAATGCACAGTGGCGTTATCAGAGGCAGAGGAAGAATGAGGCCGCAGTGCTGCATACTCGTATCACTGTCTGGACACCTTCAGAGTTGCACTCGAGTCACCGACCTGAATGTCATTTCACAAAGGACCAGACATTTAATGAACAGAGGTAGCATTTATTTCACTTTGCAGGGATCCATGGCAGATGAAAAGGCCTCAATCTCGGTCAGATTCGCACACGCGAGAGCAGCGTTGGATGCGGAGGAGAAGGCGGCTTTAGAGCAAGCGGAGAAGAAATGGCGCAAGCTGCTGTCCCTGATCGAGAAGAAGATCGCTCACGACCAGCGCGAGATCAGCGAGCTCCAGGCAGCAGCCACTCGCCTGCAGGCCCTAGCGCAGGAGAGGGACTCGCTCACGTTCCTGCAGGTGAGCAATGAGTCTCCAGTGTCGCTATTGGCCCAGAGCCCTCTCACCAGCAGCAATAGAGGGAGGCTCCTGATTGAGAGCTCGCATCCACTGGGCTTGAGAACACAGCTCCACTCATGGACTCGCATCGCAGCTCCAGTAGCTGCCATGTGGAAGGCCAGCTCATATTTTTTCAGTTAAATTAATTCTCTCTCCCGTCCTTTAACAGATTCCCATTAAGTTTGTTTCATTGTAAATATAAACTAAATATTATTGGAATTGCACTTTTTAAATAAACCCTGTAACAAAAATGTACACGGTATTCAAGATTGTCATCAGCCATGATCTATCCACTGATGGATGAAGGCCTCCCCAAGCTGTTGCCACGTCTCATGATGCCGCGATGCAACAATCCACCAGCGCCTGCTAACGAGCCGATATCATCTCTGCTTCTTACTTCGTGTACATCCTCTTGGATGCGCGACCTTCAGTGTTCATATTCGTGAAGCTAAAATACATACGAGGCCTCACACGCTTATTAGTGATATCCTTGTGTATTGACCACCACGTCTACAAGACCTGCCACGTGTGCATTGGTGACGCCTGAAATTACCTGTCCTAAGTTACTCTCAACACATATCAATATCAACTGGTCTCACTGAAATAATTGCCCTGCAAATTAGTGTTGGTCCTCATGGGGGTGGCGAGATGTTAACTACCTCGCCTGATATACCGGAGGTCGTGGATTTGATCCCAAACCTGACATTCCTATTTATTTTGAGTTTTCATGTCTCTCTATGGTCGCATGGATTTTTCTCCACGTCCTGCAGTTTTTCCATCCACATTTGTATTGGGCTGCTATCATTTGTGGCCAGGTCGCTTCTGAAAAAGAGCTCTATTGCTTCGTGGGACTTATGTGGAAAATATAATTAGATTATAGTTGACTTTCAACCGGTCTCACTCTGAAATATTTGCCCCGTAAGTTAGTGTTGGTGATGATGGGGTCATAAGCCAAGACTTTGGGGTTTATATTCCACCCACGGTGTTGCAGTGGGAACCCCACTGATCACAAGGGAATGGAAGTAGAGTCACCGTAACGCATATCTCTCTTTCCCATAGGGGCACCTGGAGGAGAAGCGCAGGAAAAAGACGACTATCACTCACGACTCGACACAGGACAACATGGGACTGAGTGTGGGGTGCGGGCAGTGATACATTGGCTGTGTGGTGATACTGTGTGTGATGATGCCGTGTGATGGTAATGTTGTGTGATGGTGCTGTACTGAAGGCGATCAAGAGTCTGAGACCAGGAAAGGCAATGGGCAGAGATGATCTCCCAAGCGAAATGCTGAGGGAGGGTGGCGTTTGTGCACACTGCCCTATATGACATCATACAACAGTCTTGGCCACTGGATGGATTCCGCAGGATTGGAAGGATGCGCTGGTGGTTCCCCTCTTTAAGAAGGGGGTCCACACAGACTGCAACAACGATAGGGGTATCTCAACATCGCCTTGCTAGGCACGCTGAGGAGAGGCTTGCGAAGCCCCTATGCAGTTTCAGGAAAGGGCGGTCCTGCACATATGCCATATTTCTGTCCGTCTGCTACAGCAGAGGTGTAGGGAATTCCAACAAGACCAACATCTCTGCTTTATTGACCGGGTCAAGGCCTATGCTATCATCAGTAGGCCTGGGCTCTGGGTTGTTCTTCGTGCTTTCGGAGTCCCTGACCCTCTGCTCACCCTCATTAAGGACCTTCATGATGGTGAGCGGGCCCGGATAAAACTACGTGGCTGGGAGTAAGAGCCATTTCCTGTACACCTTGGGGTGTGACAGGGATGTCCTCTGCCCCCCACATTATTTAACATCAATTTTGACCACGTAGTTCGTGAAGCCTTCAAAAGCTGTACTGGAGGAAGTTCCATTTATTACAGATATAATGGGAGGCTGATCGATGTCCGGGTGCGGTCAAGGGATGGCTCCCTATTGCTCAACCACGGTATGTATGCCGACGACCTGGTAATTGCTACTCACTCGGAGGAGGAGTTCGAGACGTTGCTGCTGAAACTGGAGCGTGCCACTACGAGGTGGCGCCTTACCATCAGCCCCACCAAAACTAAGCACCTGCCTGGGTATTTTGTACCATCGTACACTCCACCCCCACAACTCTCAATCGGTGATGGGGCAGTTGTGGAGAGAGTGGAGAGTTTTCCATACCTGGGCAGTGTGGTCATGACCGGCTCCGGTTTAACAGCAGAGGTCTCACTCCGAATCAGTCGAGCGGCAATATCTTTTAATCGGTTGCATAACGCTATGTGTAAGCTACCTGGTCTGTTGCTCCGCACGAAGTTTCAGGTCTTCTCGGCCAAGGTCATTCCCTCCCTTCTCTACGCTTGCGAAACGTGGAATGCCCTAATGGAGCATCTTCGCCGGTTAGAAACATTTAGGCTGGCCTGCCTACGATCCATCCTGGGTTTACCAGGCTGGATTGTGTGAGGAGCTCACAAATCCTTGAAAGATCTGGACAAAGTCCCATCGGTGAGCTTCTCCGGCAGGCAAGGCTGCGTTGGCTGGGTCATGTAGCTCAGCATGCCCAGCCAACGCATGCCTAAACAGCTTCTGTTCGGCCGGATCGAGGGGGCTAAACGGGCGCAGCACGGACTAGAGAAGAGATGGAGTGATGTGGTACAGGAGGATGTGGAGCTGAGTGGACTTGCCAATGACTGGTACAACAACGGAGGACTGAGGAGCGACGCTCACAACAACGAGTGGAGCGCCGGGTGGCTAAAGCGCAGCAAGTTGGCACAGTGGAGGGCATAGTTGGTGCATCAGTCAGTCATCTCAATCATCTCAGTCAGTCGACCCGTGGCACCTGGGTCTGCCCCGTGACCTCCTGCCAGCGGGCGTTCGACACTTCACGTGGCCTCAAGGTGCACATGGCCTGGCACAAGCGTCTTGGTGACGTCACTGCCACTTAGTGGCGAATGGCGGTTGTTGTTGGTGCTCTATGTGATGATGCTATGTGTGTGGATAGTAGTGCTGTGTGTTGATGATGCTGTGTGGTGATGATGCTGTGTGTTGTGTGGTGATGCTGTGTGGTGATGATGCTGTGTGCTGTGTGGTGATGCTGTGTGGTGAATATGCTGCGTGTGATTAGGCTGTGTGTGATGATGCTGTGTGCGTTTATGCTGTGTGTGTTGACACTGTGTTGTAATGCTGTGTGATTATGTTATGTCTGGTGATGCTGTGTTTTGATACCGTGTGTGGTGATGCTGTAATTGTGAGAAGAGTGATTTTGCTTTGTTTGATGAGTGCCTGTGTGATGGAGCTGTGATGATCCTGTGAGTGACGATGCTCTATGTGAGAGAGTAGCCATGTCTGCTCTGCTTTCACAGGACAGGGAGAGCTACAGCAGCTCCACCCTCAACTCCTAGTCAAGAGGACATTGCCTCGCTTAAAGGCACCGAGGGAACTGTGGCCAAACTCCTGTGTGAGTTATTCAGTGTAAATCATGGGTGATGGGTCCATCTTGACAATAAAATATGTGTGCACGAGGTCGACTAAGCCTCAAATAATTACCTGGTGTTTTATACGCATCACCACTAGGGAGACAAAGGCGGGCAGGCGTAGTGGTGGCCACCCACCCCCTCGTGTGTCGTGCCAGCCTTCAACGGTGCTGATTTTCCCCAATAGTCTGTAAAGGCTACACGGGAGATATTAGTCATTGTTCACATCCCATCCCAAGGCCCTACTGAACAGAGCCATGAGACTCCGTGTGGTGTTCTTGGGTAAATAATCAGCATTACGAGTCAGGGGTAATTGTGATATTGAAATACAGTGAGTGCCTGTGAATGTGTCTGTGCATTTGTGCGTGGGGGGAGTGGTGGCATAGTGGTTAGCACACTTGCACTACGAACCCAGTTACCTGAGTTTGATTACCCGCCATGGCTAACATCAGTGGTAGGTGATATCTGATCCCGTCCTGGGCCTCTGCTAGGCAGTTTCAACCTCACATTAGTTACTGATGCTGGTAATAGTCATAATGATGGTGGTCGTAATGAGAATGGTGCTAATGATGCTGATGTTAGTGATAATGTGAGTGATGGGAATGGTAATGGGATTGGTGATGGTGTTGGTCGTGGTGATGGCAGTGATGGGCGTGCTGATGGTAATGATGGTCACATTGGTGATAATATAGGAGGTGGTGATGGTTTTGCTGATGGCGCTGATGGTAGTAGTGATGATGATATTGGTTATGGTGGTCATGGTAATGATGGTTGTGATGATGGTTTAGATCAGGGGTCCTCAAACTTTTTAAACAGGGGGCCAGTTCACTGTCCCTCAGACCGTTGGAGGGCCGGACTCTAGTTTAAAAAAATATGAACAAATTCCTATGCACACTGCATATATCTTATTTTGAAGTGAAGAAACAAAACGGGAACAAATACAATATTTAAAATGAAGAACAAGTAAAGTTAAATCAACAAACTTGCCAGTATTTCAATGGGAACTATGGGCCTGCTTTTGGCTAATGAGATGGTCAATGTCCGGTTCCATATTTGTCACTGCTAGTCGTAACAAGTGATGCAAGTGTGCATCCGTTAGTCCAGATCTGGTTGGAGATTTCAAATGTTTCATTCTGGAAAAAGTCTGTTCACAGACATAAGTGCTGCCAAAGATGGTTGCCATTTTGAGTGCATGGTTCCTGAGATGAGGATATGTCTCAGAGGGGAGAGATGCATATAAATTATGAAGGCTGCTTGACTTGAATGCGTCTTTCAGAGTCACATTCTGCAGTTCAGCCAGTTCCATTTGGTAAATTGTATCCACATTTTTAATGTCAATAGAAAATGGGTTACGGAAAAGCTGTATGTCCTGTTCATGGAGATGAAGCTCTTTAAATCTAAATTGGAACTCCTTTTGCAATTTTTCCAGTGAATCCACACATGTTTTGTTTGGGAATGCAACCAATGTTTTTTCTGCTAACAGATTTTGAGTTGTGGGGAGATGGCAGAAGTTTTCCTCCTTCACTTGTTTGATGAGGAGGCCTAATTTTACTGTAAATGCTTTGACATGTGATTGCATATCACAGATGAGCTTACCCTTTCCTTGAAGTTGCACATTGAAACTGTTGAGTAGCTCTGTTACATCTGTCAGAAAGGCAAGGTGCCATTTCCATTCTGCATCATTGAGCTCTGGTACTTCTTTGTTTTTTAAAAGCAGAAAAGCTGTAATCTGTGGAAGTAAGTCATAGAAACGTTTCAAAACTCTCCCTCGACTCAGCCAACGGACTTCTGTGTGGTACAGAACATCTTCATAGTCAACATTTATCTCAGACAGAAATTCCTGAAATTGTCTGTGGTTTAGTGCATGAGCTCTAATGAAGTTAACACAAGATACCACAATTTTCATAACAGAGTCCCACTTCAGTGATTTACTACACAGCGCTTGTTGGTGGATGAGGCAGTGTATGGTTATTGGATGAGAATGGTTATGTTTGTCCATCTCTTGGTTAATGCGAGCAATTACTCCTTTCTTAGACCCCACCATGCTAGGAGCACCATCAGTTGTCACACTGGCTAGTTTAGCCCAGTTCAGTTCCAAACCATTCACAGTTTGGCAAACCTTTTCATAGATATCCTCTCCTGTAGTTGTTCCTTTGATGCTTTGCAGTGCAGTAAGCTCTTCTGTGACTTCGAAATAGTCATTCGTCCCACGAATAAAAATTAGAAGTTGTGCAGAATCACGAACATCATTGCTTTTGTCGAGTGCCAAGGAAAAATAGGAAAGTTTTTTTATGGAGTTTTGCAAATGCTGATGCAAATTGTCTCCCATTTCTTCAATACTCCATGTAATTGTAGGTCCTGAAAGACTCACTGTACTAAATAAATCGGCCTTCTCTGGACACATCTCTTTGGCAACAGAAAGAAGGCATTCTTTAACAAATTCTCCCTCCACGAATGGTCTGCCAGTGCACGCTATTAGCTTGGCAACTTGAAAACTTGCTCGCAGTGATGAAATATTTAGCTGCTTCTGCTTCACAAAAGTATTTTGCTGAGTTGTTAATGTATTTTTCAGTTTTAATATTTTATCTTTTCTCACTTCTCCGACCAAACAATCATATTTATCTTTATGTTGAGTTTCATAGTGTCGACGTAAATTGTATTCTTTGAACACAGACACTATATTCTGGCATATCAGACACACAGCTCTTTCCTTTTACTGCATGAAAAAGTAATCATAAGTCCACTGTTCTTTGAATATCCTACACTCCGAGTCAATTTTTCTCTTTCTTGACATCATTGTTTCCGAGGGAGTCAAAATTGCTATTAGTAAAATACCAATATATATGTACAGCGCTACAAAAACAATATACCAGCAATAACTTTTCCTACACAGAGACATACAGACTGCACTGCCCATCAATGCAGTCTGATTGGGGGAACTCCGCTTTTACCCCAGGCTCACACTGGTGCGGGTGCCATTAAAAAGTTAATTAAAAAGTAACAGACAGGCAGCGGCGGCAAAAACACCCGGCGGGCCGGATAAATGTCCTCGGCGGGTCGCATGTGGCTCTCGGGCCGCAGTTTGAGGATCCCTGGTTTAGATGGTCGTTGTAATGGTTATGATGATGCTGGTCGTGTTGGTGATTTTGGTGATAGTGATGAAGATGGTAGTGATGGAAATAGTGGTGATGGTAGTGATGGTGGTGATTGTTTGTGATGGTGCTCGTGGTGGTGAAGATGGTTGTGATGTTGCTTATTGCTATAGTGATGCTGCTGATGTTCATAGTGTTTATGATGGTGGTAATGGTGATCCTCATGTTGTTGTCATTGATGATATTGATGACGAGGATGCTTGGTGATGGTGATGTTTGTGATGTTATTGTTGATGGTGAAGATGATGGTTGGTGATGGTGGTGATATTGATGGTGGTGATGGTGGATGATGGTGATGACGGTGTTTTGTAGTGATGTTGTCATCACTGTTGTCACAGATGGACGCTCACCGACTCTGGACACAGACTCAGCTCATAAAAAACTCCAGATCTCCTCGGATCTCAGGACGATGACGCTGACCGGTTCCTCCCAGTGTCGCCCCGATCACCCACACCGGTTTAATAGCTGTCCACAAGCCCTGTGCCGTGAGAGCTTCTCGTCGGGCCACCACTACTGGGAGGTGGACGTGGAGGACGCGCGGATGTGGCGGGTTGGAGTCGCGTACGGGACGATCCCACGGAAAATGAGTGGTGGTGCTCCACATCTGCTGGGAGACAGCGACACGTCCTGGTGTTTAGAGAAAAGTGACAACTTATTTTCCAACAAATTCTCAGTGTTTCATGGTGGAGTGAAGACCTCACTGTCGGTGAGGGGTGCCCCCTCCCCCAGCAGAATCGGGCTTCACCTGCACTGGGAGGGGGGGCTCCTGGTGTTTTACCGCGCCGACTCCATGGAGGTGATCCACGAGGTTCGGCAGAGATTCTCGCAGCCTCTCTACCCTGGGATGTGGGTGCAGAGTTGTAATGAACCATTGAAGATCGTGGATCTGCATCCTGAGGATGAGGAGAGATAGAAACCCAAGAAACCGAGACAGGAACCCAAGAAACAAAGGAGAGGGTGGATGTTGAGGAGAGGGCGAAGTGAGGGTGAGGGGAAGGTGGAACGGAAGGTGGGGGAAGGTCACGGGTTAGCGTGGAGGGTGATGGTGAGGGTGAAGGGTGAGGGGAGGGTGAGGAGAGGAGAGGAGAGGATGTGAAGGAGGGGGTAGAGAGAGGGTGAGGGGTGTTGTATATGTCGGTTTATGTAATTTTGATTAAAATAATAATTAAATGAAGATTGGAAAAATGCGCAAGTTTTTTTGAAATTATGCTAATTTATGTAATCATATGCATAAATTGTGATAATCATGGGATAATCATATTACTTTATGCGAATGCTTGCGATTATGTTAATGTGGGCAGTTATGATAATTAGGCTTGGCTTCGCTGCCCAGTGTCGTATTTAACAATTGGGATAAAACAATTATTCTTGCTTTAACATTTATTGATTATCTCTTAGTGTGCTTATGTTATGTTAGGTCTCCAAATGCATATCTCAACGCAGGATACAGTTATTATAAATAAGAGTTATGCATGGACTTGGAAAGAAACACTCAACACATCTGTGTTAAGCAATTTTAATTCTGAACAAAAATATGACACTCTAATATGCGAACTCTCATGCTCGGAATTATCCACGTTACCATCGGGGAGATTTCTCTCAGTGAGCAGCACATTTAACCATCAATGCTTTTTTTCTTTTTTTCAACCGCACATACCATTAATTCCACTGCGTAACGAGCATATCCGGCGACAGGTAGAGTCTTAAAACAGGCATGCAATGATAGTCATACAAAAGGCAATAAGAAAATTATTATTATATCCCGAAGGCAAAAGCATACGTCAATAGATTCGTCGGCAAGATTACATTTGTTTAATCCTTTATATTAAGTTCGCTTGCTTGCGTGCTTGCGTGCTTGCTTGCTTGCTTACGACCGTGCAATACTTTCGGTCGTTTTTTAACCCACTTCCCGTGATCCAATCGAGCTGACATTTTCTACACAGACTCGTTGTGCAAGACAATTAATGTTCGTGAATTTTTTTTTAAAAATTTGACATATTTTAGGCAAAAAAAAATGTATTTTACATTTATTCAAATACAACTCATTCATGGCTTTGGCTGAACGTCACAGTGTAGGAGCCCAGAGCGTAACCCCTCCACAGGCCGTGGCGGAGTAGCGCAGTTGGTAGTGCCCTCGCTTCCCATGCCAAAGGTCGCGGGATCGATCCCCGCGTCCTCCACAGGCGAATATATTTTTAAATCCTTTATATTAAGTTCACTTGCTTGCTTCGGACCGTGCAAATCTTTCGCTCGTTTTTTAACCCACTTCCCGTGATCCAATCGAGCTGACATTTTCCACACAGACTCGTTGTGTGTGACAATTAATTTTCGTGAAAATTTTTTTCCAAAATTTTACACTGTTTAGGGAAAACAAATTAAATATTTCATTACCAATTGCTTAATACTGGCAGACAATCATCTGACCCATAGGTGGCAGCCATCTCAAGCCAGAGGACGAGAAGACTCTAGCCGCCACGCATATAAAGGATTTATAGTGAAAAACTTTGTTTTTACGGGTTTACTTGTTAACGAAATGTTTTGAAACAATGGTGAGCGAGTGCGTGCGTGTGTTCTTTGTGGGAGAGCGTATTTCTGGCTCCGCTTTAATTAATTCTTAAGCGAGATTCTATGACAAAGGAACAGGTTTGACACGATATTCTCTCTGTAAACGTGTAGATTCGTGATGAGGATTTCAAGAGTTTAGTTTGCGTCGACGAATCTATTGGTAGTATATGCGATTAAAAGATATGGAAAAAAAAACTAAGGCACTTATAAATGGCTTATTCTAATCACGCGATGAGCCGCGATGCCTTCACGGCCAGCTGATGATTCATACTTTTATAATTGGTCTTCTTATGATTGGCTAGGGTTGATTCCATTGTGTGGGTATGTGGGATTGTTAAATCCTTTATTAAATCCTTTATATTAAGTTCGCTTGCTTGCTTGCGTGCTTACGACCGTGCAAATATTTCGGTCGTTTTTTAACCCACTTCCCGTGATCCAATCGAGCTGACATTTTGCACACAGACTCGTTGTGCGTGACAATTTATTTTCGTGAAAAAAATTCAAAAATTTTCCACTTTTTAGATATATAATTTTTTCATATTTAATTTAAAATACCAATGTGATAAAAATGAAACTCTTACTCAAGAAAAACAGAAATGAATAATAAAATAAAACCGATGCCACGCATATAAAGGATTTATAGTGAAAAACTTTGTTTTTACGGGTTAATTTTTAAATCCTTTATATGAAGTTCACTTGCGTGCTTGCTTGCGTGCTTACGACCGTGCAAATCTTTCGGTCGTTTTTTAACCCACTTCCCGTGATCCAATCGAGCTGACATTTTGCACACAGATTCGTTGTGCGTGACAATTTATTTTCGTGAATTTTTTTTCCATAACTTTACATTTTTAGGAATTTTGTTTTATTTAATTACCAATTGCTTAATAGTGGCAGGCAATCATCTGACCCATAGGTTGCAGCCATCTCAAGCCAGAGGACGAGAGGACTCTAGCTGCCACGCATATAAAGGATTTATAGTGAAAAACTTAGTTTTTACGGGTTAATTTTTCTCTTTGGTAAATTCTTGCGTGAGTAACGCCGGCGTGTTTCGTGGATTTGTGAGTGTGAGGGGGGGATACGAACGGCTTTGGAGAAGTTCCCTCTGGCTCGGCGTGGTTTGCAGAGATCCGCTGCTTTCTCTCTCGCTGCGAGATGAGTGGCGTCGGCCCGATGCTGTCCTTGGAGAGGCTCGGTCGCTGGGTGGCGCCCGGTGGGGCTCGGCGTGGTGCTTGGCGGCGCTTGGCGCTGGCACCCGAACTCTATAGCTGGCGGCGCGGGGGTGCTCGTTCGCTCGTTCGCTCGTGCGCTGGTGGCTGGCACCTTTGTGCTCGGCGATGGAGGACGCGGCTGTGCGCGCTCGCCGGCTCCGGGTGCTCTGACGTTGGGTTGACGTTGGGTGTCTTCGCTATTGCTCGAGAATGATAACTGAAATCACCGTCAGTTTCACTCGCACCTCGGCGGCTCGGTGTAGCGGTGGTGCAGACCCCTGCCTGGCTTAGTACGTCGCTACTCAGCGAGCCCCTCCATACTTGCTGATTTTGCTGAGTCTTCGGTGTCGGTGGCAATGATGTTGAGATGCTCCTCGGCCAGGCTCCGGTGATGAGATGAGATGCTGATGACATGGCAGTGCCTCGGTTTATATCTGAAAAACCGCTCTGCTCTCGCGATGCCTTCAAAGTGCCGGAACCAATTACATTTTTTCGTTTGCTTGTATCTGAACACAGCTGCGTGTGCGTGTCCGTGTGTGTGCGATTTATTGGAGTAATAAAGTTCTTCAAGCGAAGCAGCTGTCTCAGACCGTCTGTTCAGCCTCTGCAACTTTGCTTTGATGTCGCTTGGTGTGGGCAAAAAGGGGGGGGGGGTGGGGCTTCCTCGCTGGCCCTTCGCAAACAAACGAGTTTGCTCCAGATGCCCCCCCCCCCACGTGCCTATAATTGTTAACTTTGAAGGAGGGGTGGTTTCCCATCTCCGGCGTGGGTGTAACTCTGTTTCACACAACTTCCACGTTTTCCGTTTCTCTTTAGAAGTAAAAAAAATGTGACTCACTTTAATTATAATATTACTTAGAATTTTGATTGTAAGTGATTCAAGGTATGTTGTAGCCGGGTTCACGGTATTTCCATCGAGGTTTGATTTTTTTTATAGGGAGATGGCCTCCTTTGTGTGTGCAAATCTCGCCATCCATGCTACGGGAAGACAAAGGCGGTCGGGGGCTCCCTCTCCACAGAGCACACTCCATCCTGCACCCCGGGCTTGCTATCTGCTCTCGAGTCATTATTGTTATATATATCCCAAAGTTCGGGAATTCGCTTTGACCTAGGAACGACCCTGACTGCCATAGTTATTATTGTTATTTTTTATCAGGTCGCGTAGAGAATTATTAAAGGTAACCATACATTAATATTGAATTAATAAGTGAGGAGTCATGGTCCACTGGTGTAGATTGTAGCCTGGTCTAAAATTGGAGTGAGAATCAATAATGTGCGCTTAATCCTTTTCGCTAAGTTTTGGTTTTTCGTTATTAGAGGAAACGTGAAAAAGTTAATCAAAGCGAAACGCCTGTGTTCGCTCTCGTCGGGGGAGGCGGGCGTGTGTTTTTTTACGACTGCCTCTTCCGTTGGCGGGAGGTTGGATGTCATAATCTTTATGGTTCATCTCCTGCCCTCTGGCCTCGAGTGTGAAAGGCAGCTGTGGTGAGGATTGGGTGTTACGGCCTTTGTTTGCTTCCACGTGGCTATGTGAACCAAAAAAAATTATTGGCAGAATTATTCTTAATATTAATTTTGGAAAAAGGGGCATATATACAACAGGTGAGAGGGGGCACTCAGAGAGTGAGTGGAGTCTTCCCTGGTGACGTCTCTCACAGAAACAAATGGGAGATGAGACGCGGCCGGTGGAGGAGAAGAAGAGGAAAGCGGAAGAGTCCATAAAGCAGATGGAGGCCGCTCGCAGGGACGTGCAGGTACCGTGTCTGGACCAGACCCTGTGACCTCGTAACTCCACCCTGAGTAGGGTTTGTGATGGAGGACAACTCTATTCATTCACGTGGACTTCAATAGGCTCTGAACACATCGTGGGAGTAAAGGCACAACGAGAAATGCTCCTCAATACCCAGGACAAGCAAATAAGTGGTTCTCATCTCCAAAAGGTAACTGAATCAGTGGTGGAAATTCCACATTTTTCGGATGGGGGACCAATATCCCCATGTGAGCTGCCAATTAATGTTCTGTTATATGTCTATTCTGGCAAGATGAGGTGGTACATACCTGTTATTCAGCACATTGGTGGCAGGGTTCACATTATATATATGTTTACAATATGTATCGCATTGTGCTATGAACTCAAGTC